GTGTGTGTGTACTCACCTATTTGTGGTTGCAGGGGCCGAGTCATAGCTCCTGGCCCCACCTCTTCACTGATTGCTACTAGGCCCTCTCTCTCCCTGCTCCATGAGCTTTATCATACTTCGCCTTAAAACTATGTATGGTTCCCGCCTCCACTACGTCACTTTCTAGGCTATTCCACGGCCTGACTACTCAATGACTGAAGAAATACTTCCTAACATCCCTTTGATTCATCTGAGTCTTCAACTTCCAATTGTGACCTCTTGTGTCTGTGTCCCTTCTCTGGAACATCCCGTGTGTGTGTATGTGTGTGTGTACTCACCTAGTTGTACTCACCTAGTTGAGGTTGCAGGGGTCGATTCCAAGCTCCTGGCCCCGCCTCTTCACTGATCGCTACTAGATCACTCTCCCTGAACCATGAGCTTTATCGTACCTCTGCTTAAAGCTATGTATGGATCCTGCTTCCACTACATCGCTTCCCAAACTATGTCAGCATAGTTGCTGATCCCTGTATTCCCAGTATTATATAGCATAGCATATTAGTATCATCCCTGTGCTTTAGACACGAGATCCCTCGTAGGCCTGTGGCTTGGTGTGACGTCACGGGTTGCTCAGGAGGAGTCCCATTCCTCTGTCCCGGTCTCACTCGGCGGCAGACCTACAGAACGTGAACAGGCTTGGCACCGGGCTCCATCTCTCATCTCAGTCTGACAATACACCTACCATCCTACAAGTGTGTCTACCTTATCCTACGAAATCTCCATTCAAGAACCCTTACGATAACTATTCCACTGCCTGACTACTCTGTGGCTATGTGTGTGTGTGTGTGTGTGTGTGTGTGTGTGTGTGTGTGTGTAGGTCGCCTGAATATTTACCACCTTAGACAAATTCTTAAGATAGTTTAGGTAGTTAGATTCTTATATATTACATAAATATTAACATTGTTAATGTACTATTTTTTAGGAGAAAAATTAACAGGCTCATCAAATATGTTTACCTTTTTCTCGTGAATGAGACTTAGTATGTCAGGTTTACCTGGAGTCTACCTGGTGTCTACCTGGAGTCTACCTGGAGGTCGTTGCGGGGGTCAAATACCGCGGCCCACTCTTTAACCAGGCCTCCCGGTGGATAAGGGTCTAATCAACCAGGCTGTTACTGTCGGCCGCATGTAATCCAACGTACGCACTCTTGTTATATCGACTTGCTTCATCAGTCGATACTAGTCAAGAGCTCTTGATTCAAGCAAGTAAGGCAGTAAGCAGTCCTCCTCTTCCTTGGATCGTATCTGGTCTTTTTCCCTCCCCCAGGCACTGTGGACCCCTTACGGTGTCAGCGCTTTCCCCAGGTTATAATGGTAATTCTGAGCAGACTTTTCCAGCTTAGCAATTGAACGCTTTCCACTGAGCAACAGCAGCAGCAGCAGCAGCAGCAGCAGCAGCAGCATCAGCCAACAACAGCCATTTCAGAAGTGTTTAGCACCGTGTGTAGTTATTGGTTTCAGCTGAATTTTCAGGGCTTTCCGAGTGAAAAGGGGAACTTCTGGAGGTCTTCTTGATTTGCCGGTAGTTCCGGCCCGGGTCTTCTCCAGACGGTGACCCGGCGACTTCTGGAGGTGTTGACGTTCACACTATTTCTCTTGACTGGTCAGTCGACGCAGCCTCCCAATCCTTATGCAACCCTCGCATAATATATAATAATATCTTTATTTCTACAAGTACATGTACAAGGTATACAGACCATAGCTAAGCTAACATCAGTGACATACTACTATATAGACAGCCACTTTGTTATGCAGGACATTTCGGGAAAATTAGGTTCTTGTCCCAGGATGCGACTCATACCAGTCGACTAACACCCAGGTACCCATTATACTGATGGGTGAACATAGACAACCGGTGTAAAGAAACACGTCCAATGTTTCTACCCTCGCTGGGAGAGAGGAGCTTACCACGACGTTACGGTCCGACTTTGACCATTTACAAAGTCATACGGGTTTAGTAGTAGTAGCTGAACGATCGTCAAGTATCTGGCTTTACCTATTCTACAATTATTTTGTCTCGGACTGGAACGTGAGAAAAATTTGCATGTAGCTGCGCTGCCCTTTGCTAGGTACCTTTGAAGAGTTTCGAGAGTTTCACTACTCTCGGAGCCCGGCCATGGGTCAGGTTCCCCCTGGTGCTTGCCTGGTCAACCAGGGTGTTGCTGCTGGAGGCCCGCTGCCCCGTATGTCTATCACAGCCTTGTTAATCTGGCACCTGGTGAAGATACTTGTCTAGTTTCCTCTTGAAGGCTTCTACACTTGTCCCAGCCGTGTCTCTGATATCTTCTGGTAAGATTTGAATAGTCGGGACCCCGGATGTTGATATAGTGTTCCCTTATTGTCCCCACCACACCCCTGCTTCTCACTGGGTTTATTTTACACTTCCTCCCATATCTCTCACTCCAGAATGTTGTTATGGCAGTGTGCAGATTTGGGACCAAGCCCCCGATATTTCTAGGTATATA